ATGTCCATAAAACTTCACGATTTTAATAAAAGCTTGAGAAATTGGGCAACAAAAGGCAGACACTAGCATTTTTTCATCTAATATAAAATATCTGCCTGTGTCCCCTGCCAAAGTATGAGACAAAGTCAATGTAGAGTGTCCTTTAAATTGACTACATTTAATATTACAAAAATTTCCCTCATTTTTTATGTGCCACGGGAGAAACATTGGGATTTGGAGCATCAAGAGGGAAGAATCATTTTATACTCTAGGAGTGCTCGATTTTTAAATGAAGCAAAGCTTGTTCTGGGCTAACAGATTGCAGGTTCCAATAGACTCTGGATTTTCTAAACTGTAGTTAAGATTGTCTCTGAAAAAAGGACTTGTAACAAGATATATTCTAGAAAACCAGTGTTCCACAGCACTGAAGACATCCTCAAACATAAATTTAGAGAGTGTGAATTAATACAAGTAATGTGAATGCTGCTTACAGGCTCTCTGAATTGAGAATATCTACTCGCCATGTTTTAACTTCAGCTATAATTAGATTTTTTTTTTTTGGTGTTTTCTCCTTAGCTGCTTTATTCTCCCATTGAAAATATCCAAAGAGTAGCTGCTGGGGTTCTCTGTGAACTTGCTCAGGACAAGGAGGCTGCAGAAGCTATTGAAGCTGAGGGAGCCACAGCTCCTCTGACAGAGTTACTTCACTCTAGGAATGAAGGTGTGGGTAAGTAGAAAAGGAACCAAAGCCTTCAGTTGGTGTGTACAGTGAAGCCTTAGCTTTGCCTTAAGGGCCTTTTTTTTTTTCCTTCCCCCCAACCCAGCAACATATGCAGCTGCTGTTTTGTTCCGAATGTCTGAGGACAAGCCACAGGATTACAAGAAAAGGCTTTCAGTTGAACTGACCAGTTCTCTCTTCAGAACGGAGCCAATGGCTTGGAATGAGGTAAGCAGTAGAGCTACTTGGTAGTTTGCTAGAACAGGTAAAGCATTTTGTGGTTTTCCCCCAGTATACATTCCTTTTTATTGACCATGTCCTTCCTTGACTTTTCAATATTCATTTTTTATGCTATCTTACCAAGTGCTGTGAGGAAGAACAAGCTTGCTGCTTAGAATTCACCGGGGAGGCAGATGAAAAAATTTTAAAGAATATTTTTCAAAAGGAAGGGTCAGAGGTCAGTTTAAATGCTCAATTTTAGCTTTTTTTCTACTTGAATTTCTATTATGAACCCTGAAAGTTCATTTAATTATGTTAGTCATATAATGGATTATATTTGTTGATTGGCAAGAGGGTCTATACATTGTTATGTAGAGGGAAAAAAGGCAAATGAAACATTCCAACTTGAGTTCTTTTTCCTACTCACCCCCAAGCCTGTTCTTCTCATAGTCTTCTCCATCTCAGTGGCAGTTTGCCCTTCCAGCTGCTCAAACTAAAAATGTCTCATAACAGAGCCTATGTGTCATCAACTCCTTTTTGGGGGTACTAACACCTAGAATCGTGCTTTGCAAATAGTAAGTACTGATACGAAAACATTTTCTGGGCATCAGTGGATGAGGCGTATACTGATGCCTAGAAAATGTTTTCGTATAAAGTTGGAAGTAATTGTTTTTGAAATTTAAGAGTGTGTATATTTTTTAAGTTGAGAATTTTCATTTTGCTTCCTTGCCTTGTACCCACTTAATCTAGCCTGCTGATCTTGGACTTGATATTGGTGCCCAGGGAGAACCCCTTGGATATCGCCAGGATGGTATGTGTCTCACATTTCTCAGTTAACTACAGATCAAGCTAAAGTTCCTGTTGGCTTTATCAAAAGATCCGGGTTGCTCATCTGGGAAACTAGTGTTGGCAGGAAATTAGTGGCAGCAGTTAAAGGCAGTTCTTAAATTCCTGAGTCAGCAATAGGATCACACCAACAAATAAGTACTACTGTGGGGCCTCTGCAGAGCATGTTACAAATTGCTTGGCTGGCTTGCTTGCTTTTTTGTCAGAGAATTCCTAATTACTACCCATGTCTGCAGCCCACCCAGGATGTGAGAGTGGGAAGCTCCTGTCCCCAAGCTCAGATCTAGGGTGGCTATTTTTACATAATTGCGTTATCAGGGTATTCTAAAAAGCTAATCCAAATCTGGGTGGTGGAGTCAGGGGATAGATCACAACTATATCCATAACTTCACAATTTCATTTTTCCTAATTACTAAACCATTGAAGTTTATAAGCTCATTTTTACCATGACAAATATATAAATAAGTCTCAGTCCTCAATATAAAGCTTACAAAGGTTTCATTGGAGTGTGTTTCTTGATACTTTCATGGGTGTCACCTGGACTCAACACTAAGCCTCCTTCTGTTATTTCCTCACCCTGTGGTCACATACACAATACATTGCTGCTATCCTCAGGAACTTTATAGTTCTGCCTTCATAGATACAAAATACTCAGGGTAAACAAGGATCTGCCTCTGGTAGAAACAGACGCAGAAGTTAGAACTTACCCCAAATTTCATTGTTAGGGCTTCTTTTCCTTGCTCTCTTGATCACTGTGTTGCCTCTGACTCTTCTAGATCCCAGCTATCGTTCTTTTCACTCCGGTGGATATGGCCAGGATGCCTTGGGTATGGACCCCATGATGGAGCATGAGATGGGTGGCCACCACCCTGGTGCTGACTATCCAGTTGATGGGCTGCCAGATCTAGGGCATGCCCAGGACCTCATGGATGGGCTGCCTCCAGGTGACAGCAATCAGCTGGCCTGGTTTGATACTGACCTGTAAATCATCCTTTAGGTAAGAAGTTATAAAAGCCAGTTTGGGTAAAATACTTTTACTCTGCCTACAGAACTTCAGAAAGACCTGGTTGGGTAGGGTGGGAGTGATTTAGGCCTATTTGTAAATCTGCCACAAAAACAGATACTTTGAAAGGAGATGTCTTAGAACATTTGAATGTTCTCAGATTTCTGGTTATTATGTGGTCATGTGTGGAAGTTATTGACTTTAATGTTTTTTGCCACAGCTTTTGCAACTTAATACTCAAATCAAATGAGTAACATTTGCTGTTTTAAACATTAATAGCAGCCTTTCTCTCTTTATACAGCTGTATTGTCTGAACTTGCATTGTGATTGGCCTGTAGAGTTGCTGAGAGGGCTCGAGGGGTGGGCTGGTATCTCAGAAAGTGCCTGACACACTAACCAAGCTGAGTTTCCTATGGGAACAATTGAAGTAAAACTTTTTGTTCTGGTCCTTTTTGGTCGAGGAGTAACAATACAAATGGATTTTGGGAGTGACTCAAGAAGTGAAGAATACACAAGAATGGATCACAAGATGGAATTTATCAAACTCTAGCCTTGCTTGTTAAATTTTTTTTTTTTTAAATATCTGTAATGGTACTGACTTTGCTTGCTTTGAAGTAGCTCTTTAATTTTTTTTTTTTTGCAGTAACTGTTAGTTTTTTAAGTCTCTCGTAGTGTTAAGTTATAGTGAATACTGCTACAGCAATTTCTAATTTTTAAGAATTGAGTAATGGTGTAGAACACTAATTCATAATCACTCTAATTGTAATCTGAATAAAGTGTAACATTGTGTAGCCTTTTTGTATAAAATAGACAAATAGAAATGGTCCAATTAGTTTCCTTTTTAATATGCTTAAAATAAGCAGGTGGATCTATTTCATGTTTTTGATCAAAAACTTTATTTGGGATATATGTATGGGGTAGGGTAAATCAGTAAGAGGTGTTATTTGGAACCTTGTTTTGGACAGTTTACCAGTTGCCTTTTATCCCAAAGTTGTTGTAACCTGCTGTGATAAAATGCTTCAAGAGAAAATACGGATATAAAAATGGCTCAGAATTAAACTTTTAATTCATTCAATTGTGTCACTTTTTCTTTTCCTTATCATTAAGTAGCTTGTGAGGGTAGTAAGTGACTATTTTCCAAGTTTTTTTAGCACTTGACCCTGCATTTGTGTAAGAAGAGAGATGCCACCACCGCCAGCAGAAGGATTCTGGGCTTATAGCCTATGTCTAGGACTTCTTCAACCTGGCCTTTTTGCTCAAGTGACCACGGAAGGCCTCCAGACTTCCAATTACCTAGCGCAAAACTGAGTGCCAAATAGGCAAACCCCCACCCCTGAATGTCAGTTTCATTCCATTAGATAATGAAGAATTAAATACCTGGATTTGGACTTGAAGTACCTTCACGTAAGTGTGGCTCATTTGAAGAGGGGAATTCCTTCAACTCCACTTTAAACTGATAATTAAGATGATTTAAGCCTTGATGTTTATCTGAACATTGAATCAGAAAGAACCAGAATGGGCCTTCTTCCATGCTGTCTGCCAGATAATCCTGTCATCCCAGTGGTAGGTCTGACAAGCTTTAGTTCATCCCTTAGGGCAGAGTCAGTGGACCTGTTAAGACTTGTGTTTTAGGAGAGCTGTTATTGAGTATTTTTAGTAAGATCATGACTATTAGATAAACATTCAGTTCCTTTTTTGGTCAAAAACCAACTTTATCTAGAGAGAACCTTTGTGAAAGCCTCAAATTCTTCACTGTGGTCTCATGTAATGGAGGGCGGGGGCTGAATTTAAAGTTTAAACCTGTAACTCGCAAAGCACATACCACAGTATAAACCTGCTTTACATCTCAGTAAACATAATGTGGGGGGCGCGGGGAGAATTGCATGCCTGGTGAGGTGGTAGGTCTCAGGTTCTGCTTCCAGAGCAAGTTAATTTTTAACATAACCATAGTAGGGTGTTTCATTTAAAGAACTTTTTAAAACCAGAAAACATTTTCAGAGCTTCGTCTAAAGTCGTCATAATTTAAAGGTCCGTTTAAAAACATAGTATGGCTGTGAATCCAGCAAGGTGGTTCAAGGGATAAAGGGCCAAGAATAGCCACTGTGAACTGCTAACTATAAAACTTGAAGGAGAGAAGAATACGATGTACAGATAGACACATCAGTGTAAAAAGAATTTGGATAAAATGCAGGGAAAAAAAATCCATGACCATCAAAATTTTAAATAAGTCAACCTGTGTGTATAAATTTTCTTTTGCCTCTAGCTCTAGTATACTGTGTAACAGCCCACACTGGAGGCCCTTGTGTCAAATGGTTAGTATTTCACTCTAGTACAGCAGAAGACTAGTTTTCATGCACAGTATGGGGGTATATCACATACTGAGTAAAAAGAAAGTGACATACATCACATTGATCATGGAAAGGGGCAGACTTTTTTAATGAACTCTTTAACAGATGGCAAAATTAAGGCGAGGAAGTGTTTAGATTACTAAATAAGTTAGACTAGTGGTTACCTGGAGAGAGGGAGATAATAGGAATTTGATCCCATTGCAGTGACCGCTGCTGAGCGAAGTTTTTCCATGTTGGAGCATTGTTCTAGACATAAGACTTGGATTATTTGCATCCTTGACAATGAAAAAAATCTTGAGATAAATGTTCTTTAATTCTTGTTTTGATTACTGTAATAAAACCAAGATTTGAATGGTGCTGTTTGATTTATAAAGGGAAGAGAGCAAAGTCATTTGACTGCAGTCCTTTTGCTTGAATTAATCACCAAGTGCAGTTAGAAGCTGCAGGGTGCCGGTGAGGGTGACACTGATTGTCAAACAGTGTTTGACTGATTGTCAAATTGTTTGTTGTCAAACAAACAAAAGATTGTTTCCTTTTTCTTACCCATCAGCATCCTGTGTGATGTCCATTCCACTTCCCTGCCCCATCAGACTCTAGTAAGCTGAAGGGAGGTGATAGGCTTTGCTCTGCACCTGTGCATCAAGTCTCCGCAGTAGACCAGTCCAGTTATAGGTCAGTCTTCCTTTCACGAGAGCCCTTCAGGACTTGCATCTCCCTAGTGCTTGTTCTCAACCTTGACTTCATGCTTCTGGTTTCCATACTTCCCTCAGCCTCACCAAAACTTAAATCTTTTGGAATCTAAACCTTGGCTAGTCCTGTTTACACCCTACTCCAAGTGGCTAGAATTTTTATAGTTTCCTTTGCTTCCTCTATCAGTTCCTTCCTGAGGCTTCTATCTCAGCCTTTACATAAATGCATGTGTCAGATTTATTTCTACATTATACTTTTCTGTTGCCAGGGAAGGAAGTATCAAGGAGATCTTGCTTCAGGTGGAGGCAGGACAGACCTTTAACCAGTAGAGCCCCCACTTTCTGACACACAGTGTCTGCCCTGCATTTACAGAATTGCTGGGAAAACTAATGATGGATGATGTGGGAAACATGAAGAGTTGAACAATACAAAGAACCCTAAGACAGTAAAATCTGCTGCTGCATTCTCCTTAGCTTACCTAGATAACTTGTCTGTTCCTCTCAGGATTCATGGAAGAAGGCACCCTTGCTCTGCCTCCCTAGTGTACTATCTCTGTAGCTTCTGGACACCATCCCTGGAAAAGTTCAGGCAGTGGATTGTAACCAGTTAGCAAGTGGCTTCAGGGGAGAGGCCAGTGTGGATGTCTGGGTCTGGGTCCTTCAGTACTGCCAGAATCCAGAATTGATGTGGGGAAGAGGGAAAGCTCCACTCAGAACTGGAGCCAGCCTGGGAAGCCAAATATGAGGGGCCTCCTGCACAGGGAGGTCAGGAAGGGTCATAGACCTCAGCCTCTCTCCTGCTCAGCCTGCCTACTCATGTCTCCTTCCCTGAGGTCATTGGGACTGGGGCCACGGCTTTACATTTGGCACTTGTGAGAATAACCCAACTGTCCCCTAATTCCTGAGCACACCAGCGTGGCAGGCTCCCGAGGGGTGGCCTTAGCGCCCTGGCACTCTGGGCTAAGTCCTTGGCCCTGCAGCAACTGTGCTTGAAACCATCATCTCCTTTCCCCTTGCCTGCTCAGATAAGGCCACACAGGCCCAGGGCCAGGATTGGTCCAATCAGCAGAACAGTTATGCGGTGTAAAACCTTCCTTTTTTAACCTTGAATAAAAGACTCCTCCCTGCTCAACTGAAAAGGGAAAATAAGGATCTTTTATTGCTCTGAAGTTCTGGAAAGACTTCAGGCCCAGAACTCCAGGTGGTTCACCCAAGAACGGACTTGAGACAGTGGATTTCCTGGGCAAACAGACTGCCTGTGCCTGGACCCAGCAGACAAGACAACTGGAGCTGAAGGCCAGGCCTCTGGTTGCTCCACCAGCTCCTCCACCCCCGGGGGAACATGAGCACACAGCCTGGTAATCGGACACTGCCCAGTGGGACTTAGCATGGGGCTTCCTCCCCCTGGGAAATGGAGCATGAGGGAGCAAATGAAACTGCCTGCTCCTAGGTGGGGCACCCTCTTACACCTCAACTATTTGCTACTTAAGCCCTGGACACCTGATGGGGGGAGGGGGGGGACACAAAGATTATGGAGTCAGATGCCTGAGTTTGACAGCTGTGGGGTCTTGGGTAAGTTGACTACTTCCTCTTGAGTCACTTCTAGATGAAGCAAAGAAGGCCTGCTCTGCAAGTTGTGGAGGGAATTGAGATGACCATCTTTGATGGAATTGGGCTCAGAGCTGCCATTTTTATTACAAAGCCAAATGTTAGCTAGTAAACTACCCAGACCACTGTGGTAGCTGTTGGTGACAGTGTGACCAGTTTCCCATGGTAAAGTAGAGGGACACTTAGTGCCCCCGTGGCTAACATGTCTGCCTGGGACAGAATTCCATCTAGGTTTGTTTGGAGCAGTGATTTTTGGGGGGTCAAGTACCCTCTCAGAAAGCACTGGAGCTCAGAGGGATCACAGCCTTTGACCTGATCTAGCTATTCCATTCCAAGGCCCCACGGGCACAGGACCAAGGAATGGCTCACCTGGTTGAAGCTGCCAAGGAGCCACCCCTAGTAGTTCAGACTGAAAGAGTAGGCCTTCCTGCAGTGTTCACCAAGTACTTCCACAGGCTTGCCCTTTACATAGGCGGTTCTAAGGAAACAGGAAGAAGCTGGAAAAGGTTTCAAGGATAAAAGGGGGTAATTGGTAGAAGTGGGGGAAGGGTTCTACCTTGATGCCATCACACCATCTAGATGGGCAGACCTTCAAGGGTGCCAGCGTTCTAACATTTTGCATTCCTTTAGGCAAACTTTAACTACCTGTGTCTGTCAGTAGAATCTTGTCAGTCTTCCAAAAGGATTCTTGGAGATTGTCTCTGAAATGAAGAATAGTCAGGCAGGTGAAAGTGGGAGGAAAACAAGAACCAAGGTTTGCTCTAGAGCTGCGGCAGAGGCGGGTATTCATGCCTAGTCCTGCCTGTAAGTCTTTGGAGAAGAGAGATGCTTACAGATGCCAACAGGCTGTAGAAAGACTTTGTAGTCCACTTGGGTGAGCACAGGCAGTGCCGGCTTCAGCGGAGGCCTACCTGGCCCACAAAGATGGAGAGAACATTTCAAGAACAGCTAGTGAACCCAGATGGATCCCACTGGAGCTGAGGAGGTCTACCTTGAATGGGTGTTGTAGGGCCCAGAGATAGACCACCTCAACCAGTAGGTCCTGGGTGCAACTGACTTTATTAGGTCCCAACACAGCTGTAGGAGACGATGTGATGAGTGGACACAGCCAAGGTTTGGTGCTGCAGAGTGAACTTGCACTAAGTGCCTTCTTGCCTACCGTCCAACAGCTTGAAGGATTTCAAGGGCCAATGAAGCCACCGCACTGTCAGCAGATGAACTGTGAGAAAAACCAAAGTAGGAACACTTAGGCATCTCCGGATGAAACACCCGCCTCTTAGATACGGCTGGTCTTTTTTACACCTCAGCAGCTGATGGGCCAGCTGTTTCGGTAGAGCTGTTATCTTGGGAAGCAGAAACAGCAGGCTCTGGGCTCTGAAGCCATCAGCTCACAGTCCTAGTGGGGCTCAGAACTGGCCCTGCCAGCACCCCTAAGTGAGGCCTCAGCTGCTAGCCCCTAACCACTTGGTGCCTGAAGCACTTTGGCCAGGAACACTGACACAGTTGTCAGGGCAAGTCAGACAGCAGTCGGACCCCGCCCGGCCCAGGTAGGCCTGCCCAGCACCTGCCTGCGCTGGTCACGGAGCAGGAGAGGCCCCAGACCCACCACAAATTCCGACTCTCCTGGCCGCACTGCTACTTCTGGCCAGCTAGTCAGGAGCTTTAGTTTCTTCTTGTTCTTAAGTGTGGATCAGCAATTAAGAGCTTAAAATGGAAATTTTGTTGCTGGAGCAAATTGTTTGAGACACTGTAAACCTGTGCCTTAACAACTGTGAGCAAAGAGAAGCATGACACACAGCAGTGAGCCTTGAAGTATAAAATTAGCTTAGGGCACACTCTTGACTGCACAAAAACAGAGCTGCTGCCAAATAGATGGGGAGGGGGGCGCTGCACAAGAGGTGGGTGGAGGCTGTGGCTGGGCTAGTCTGGTGGGGCTCTGCCGCCCACCCCACCAGCCAGAGCAGCCCCGGCAGCCCAGTGACTGGCAAGGACACCACCAAGCCCTGAAAGAGCCACATCATAACAGAACAGTGCCAGCCCCTCGTTCTTGGTTAACTTAAGATGGCCTTTTGTGGCTAGGCCAACTGAACAAAGCTCAAGTAAGACAACTCCCTAGCAGCGACCTCCGCACCAGTACATCTGCCTCATGTGGATGTTTGCATTGCTGGAGTGTTGAATGAGGGGGTAGCCGAGGCTGCTGACCTCATGAAGCACTTAGCTTACTCGAGTACATACGGGTCCCAGCTCTCCCAAACAGATGAGTGTAAGGACGTACTGGCTTTGCCTGAAAGGCGGACAGAGGCCCCTGCTAGGTGAAGAGTCCCACTCAGGCAGGCCCTGCAGAGGAAGGGCTTTCCAGAGCGATCCACTGAATTCCACTCTTCCCCATGGTTCTCCCACACCCTCCTCAGCACAACTCTGCTCAGAGTGGCTTCATCACAGCTGTCTGCACAAGGCCAGGGGTGTCTATCACCTGCACTTCACAGACCAGCCTAGCAGAAGGCCTGTGGCCCCGCCCAGGGAGTCACTGTCTGTGCCTTACACCACAGGCCAGCAAGGCGAGGAGGGGCCCTGCCCATCAAAGTTAGTCTGTCCTTCCCCTCACCTCGCAGAAACCAGGTCCAAGAGATTACCTGATTTAGCAGAAGGGGACAAGGGTGGGGCAGGCTACGAGACGGTATACCCTTCCCGACCCGACCCAACCCGGGGTTGTATGTGAAAAGGCTGGTTGGAGCTGAGCCTTCTCAATACTCACCTCAGCAATGTTTCAACTGTCTGTTTTTCTCCAAATTGATACCAACCCCAACACCAGGAAGCAAATGCCATGGGAAACTATCAAGAAACGCCAGGCATCATTCCATGTCCTGCAAGCCCAATGAAGGCCGGGCCCCCATGGGTGGGAGGCTTTCCTCCCAGGGCCGGGAGAGCAGCTGGAACTCGGGGCTGTGCCCACTGCAACCTCCGGCCACCTCCCTCCGCTCTGGGGACAGTGGCCTGAGGAAGGCATGGTGACACATTCAGCGAGTCATGAAGCACATCTTTGTCTCCCCACCCACCCCCAACTGCCAGCTCCAGCACCACCATCGCAGTAGCGATCACACAGCAGTGCGGTCCAAGGTGGACACCTGGGCACAACCTCTCCTTTACAGTTTTTCTTTGGTCACTAGACAGACATTTGAGATCAGAATGTAAAAACTTGCAGGCCCTAAGCCCTTCCCCTTGGGGGAGGGATGCATGACTTTGTGGGATGCAGCCTCCCTGCAGGCGTCACTCCTCCGGCCTTCGCATCAACGTGGGGTCAGCTGAGAGGACAGTTCCTACCTTCACAGGCTGTAACGCGCTCCTGCGTGATAGGGCGGCCTTGGTCTGTGGACCGCACTTTTTAGGCTGTTTTAACACAATGATCGTGCTGAGGACTGGGAGGTTGGCCTAACCTCACACGGTCAGCTTCTGGGCGTCAAATATGGTCCTTTAGGTTCCAAATTTTCTCTCTGAAGATCTCGCCTGGTGCTATAGAGTGGGCTGAGCTGTTGGTTCTGACCCCAGCCCTGCCCTGGGCCTCCAGACCCTCCTCAAGGTGGCACTAATGAGGCCTCTGGGCCAGGCTGCAAATGTGTGTACAGACTGGGTCTGGCGTTTCCTATGATTTGCATCACATCTTCTGCTGGGATCTCCCCACCTGGTCATCATTCCCCTCCCCACCTGTATTCCCTGTAGATGGGAATGTTGCCTCTCCTACCTCAGCAGGGCTACGACATTCTACTCTTCTCCCTTCTTTGTTAACTTCCCCACCCTTGCACAGTGGGGATGCCCCGAGGGTGGAAGCCTCCCTTGGCAATGACAGGCTGGAAGGTGGTGGCCATTGGTGTCCAGGGGGGATGAAGAGGGTGGTGGAGAGCAGTGGGTCAGAATGTGCACATTGGCCTCCTGGGCCTACTTACCTGCCAGCTGGGGTCAGCCACTCCAGAGCCTGCAGGAGGCTGCCCGCATTCTTGAGACGCTCTAGTTGCTTCTCACTGGAGGTGACCTGCAAAGGAGGGAGATGAGGAGGGTCAGCTGCCCCATGGCTGTCTCATGCCCCTTGGATGGGCAACCTGAGTCTCACACTTCCTGTGGTACTGGGAGTGTGCCCTGAGTGCACCCCTCAACCCCGGACACTACTGATCATGAGCCAGAAAATGGTGACCCCTGCGGAGGTGCATGAGGGAGTCCACAGAGGCCAGAATGTGCTAGGTCAGGGGCCACCCCAGCCTGCCACAGATCCCTCAGGATGTTTTGTGTTCCAAAAACCTGAACTCTCCAGTTAAAACAAATTATGTGCAAAAAAAAAAAAAAAAAAAAAAAATTCCAGTAGTCAGTGCTGGGACCCAGTGGGTCCTGTGTGCTTGGGCGCTGAGCCCAACTCAACCACTTTCGTATGAACCCAAGTGTCATTCTGGGCATATGGTGATCAGGGTGGCCTGAGAGAAGGTACTAATAACCAGACTTCCTGGGAACCCTGTGATGTGTCCTTATTAACTGCCATAGTCAAGGGAGAAATAGGAAAAACACTTGGGCATCCCTGACTCTGCAGTACCTTTGTGCAACATCAAACTCTCAGGGCTGGCTGGGACCCAGTCTGGGCTTCCAGGGACCTCCTCATTCAGCCCCTCCACAAAATGAGTTCCTGCCTTGCTAGGCAGAGGAGAGACATATTTGCTGCTCCTCTTCATTCTCCATTCTGGTCCTAGAGGTTCTAATCTTTGCTATTCTTTAAATATTATGCAATGATTATCACATCACTTGCAGAAACATCACGGAAAGCTCTGCAATTTCCTATATATTTTCTCATTCTTTTCCACAGCTGCACCTGGCAAGGTGTGCATAGAGGGTGTTGTATAGAGAGAAGAGATGGAGTGAGATAATGGGTGCTAGGGAAGTAGACGTGGAGCCTGATACTATCCCCACCATGAAGCTGGAACCACTGTGGGCTCAGTTAACTCACTGCACCACTGTTCTCAGTCTTCCCACTTGACAGTGGCCCGGGCTGCACGGTCATCTCCCCAGTTTCAAGAAGATGCCAAATATTTATTTTTTAAAAGATTGATTGATTGATTTATACAAGAACCAGGTTACAGGCCAGATACGCAGAAGGGTGAGAGGATTCACCAGAGCCAGAGCAGGGAACAGAACAGGCAGACTGACGAAATACACTGCTGAGGGGAGCAGCGGGCGCAACAGGAGAGGTCTGCTGCACCATGTGGGAGACCCTTGCCAGCTGGCCAGGATCGAACTGGTGCTGCAGAGGCTGTGGACAGCTTCACAGCATGGCGCTCAACCGCCTGCGCCACCAGGGGAGGCCCAAATATTTCTTAATTGCTCCTGGTGATAAGAATGTCACTGGGATCATTAAACTTCAATGTGGCCTCTGTATGACTGACTTTGCCTGTCTACTGAAACCCTATCCACTACCTGAGTTGCCAGAGACCACTGCCAGGTCAACCACATCAGGTGTGACTTCTCTGAAGATTTACATGTACATTTGTTCTCAAATTACACTCAACTAGGTAAAGTTCAAAAGGCTGCTGTTTAAAAATGTCAGCTATAGTTCAATTATGTCTAAGGTGTGTGCAAAGTGAACTGAAGGGTCTTCAATGAGGATTCCCATCTTTTTATCCCCTAACACTGTGCCTCACACAACTCAGTTGAGCTATATATAGCTAGACCCACTGTCCCAATCAGTCTCACCAAGGGCTTATGGGTAGGGACTGAGGTACCAGGAGATCACCCCACAGAAGGCACAAAGAATAACAATACTACATTCACTCACAAGGCTAGGTAGAAGGCGCAAGGAGAAAAATCCAGTGAGAATTATCTGATCAAAAGAAGAGACTAAAATAGCATCGTGTGCAGTTTACATAAATGTAGGCATACACAAAGCCAACAAATTAACTGAAAACGAATAATTTGGCCATTTAACTGAGCTCTTATTAACATGCAACTGCTATTCTGTATATAAAGATGAGTTATTTAGAAAATAAAGATCTCAAATAGCATCAATCAGAGGGTCTAGTTCTGGGCAACATAGCACCCTTTCTCTCTCTCTGAATGCAACTACAAACATGGAGATTCTAGAATGCACAGCACAACTGTGTGAGAACACTGACACTTCAACAGCACAGGCAGACTGTAGAGGGAGGCTGAGTTCGAAGCACCGCTAAACTGGTGGTGAGTTAACCACTTCTTTCACTCCAGGGTAGCCCACGCCCCAGAAATGACATTATAGGGTGGAAGAGAGCCCCAGGAGAGGTCAGGCTTGAGGAATGCGAGTAGAAACTCCCAGAAGCTCAGAGAGTGTACACAAATGCCCCCTCCAAGCGTCTCTCCCTCCCTCCCCTCGGTTCACATCTGCTCCAGGCCCCAGACCATTCCGTGGCGGCAGCGACAGCAGTGGCAGGAGCAGCAGAAGCCTGCGGCCTAAGCTCTTCTCCCTCTATTCATGCCCTCAGTGTCTGACCCAGATGTGACAATTGCGAGATGATCAACTTATATGACCAGACACAAATGGGAAACCCAGGGAACCAGGAAATATTGGGGAGATAATGAATTAGGAAAAGCTAGAGAAAACAACCCATATAATTGCTCTTGGACTCCCAGGATCACCCTCAACTCTATGCAAACCATAATCTCAGAATTGAGCTAACACACCTGTGCCTGGTTCCCAGGTTGACCCCAAGAGGATGGATGCACAAAACAGACCACAATAACTGCAAACATGCTGCAGCTGACCTGCCAGAGAAGTTACAGTTCTAACCTGGGGCTGCAGTATAATTAGCATAATTAGTTGCTGAAGCAAAAGTATCAACATTCTCTGTAGGGTTTCAACAAGACAGAGTGTCTCAAAGTAATATTTAAAATAGCCAGAATAAAATCCGAAATTGCTCTATATACAAATGACCATGAAAGTCTCAACTCAGATATGAAAAGAAAATCTGCAAGGACAAAAGAATAAGATGACATAGATAATGGAAATAGCTGAGAAAGACTTCAAAGTGTTGTAAAAATGCTAAAACAAGCAATCAATACTCAAATTAAAATAGAATGTAACACGCTTGAAATAAATTTAAAATAGAAAATAATAGTATAAAAATAAAACAAGGTTTTAAAACAGAGTGTTGAAAATGGAAGATGCAAAGAAAAACAACTGGAAATTTTTGAGTTAAAAATTTGATCACCAAAAAATTTTGAAACCCGAGCGCTCTCAATAGCAGAACGGAGATGACTAAACGTAAACTTGAAAAGAGATCAGCAGAAATGATCCAGTCTCAGCACTAGAAAGAACAAAGGATCAAAAACAAACAGAGAGGGCTTTGGGGACCTCTGGGACAATAACAAAAGGCCATGAAACAACAGAGCATGAGTGGATGAAAAGGTACTTGAAGAAATCATAGCTAAAACTATTCAATGTGATGAAATACTTAAATTTACAGATTCAAGAAGCTTTAAAAACCCAAATGAGCTCAAGGAACCATACCCAACAACAAAATCAAACCTGCTAAAGAGGGAAAAGGAAAAACGAATGCTGACGGCAAGCAGCAAAAAATGATGTGTTACTTAGAGGAAAACAGTATCGCGAACTGCAGTGGAATTCTCGTCATTTTGAGATCAGAAGAGAGTGGCATTTTAAAAATGCCAAAGATAAAAGAATGATCAAACTACACTTCTATATCTAGCAAAAACATCATTTGGAAACTAAGGTGAAATAAAGATATTCTTCCCAAAACGAATGGAAGTAAACTAATAGACGGAAAGCTAACAGAAGCAGCGATTTCTCTAAAAGAATTGCTAAGGGAAGTTTCTCAAAGAGAAAGGAAACATCAGAAGGAAACAGGAAAGTAGGAATAAAGGGAGAGCAACAAAATGATAGCTATCTGGGTAGACATAACAGAATATTCTTTTTAAAGTGTATCTGGGTAGAAAATAAAAATATCTAATATTGTCTGATGTGATTTTCAATATATGTGCCTGTAATACAAGATAACTGAAATATTACAGGGTAGTGTGATTTCTATATTCTAATTGAATTGGCAAAATACTGACTATGAATACAGTGTAAAAAGTATTTTACAATCCAGTGGATAGTAAAACAAAATTAGTTTGTTCAAATGTTCAAATATTAATAGTTTAAAAGGCAGCAAAGGATAAAAAAATAAACAGAAATCAAATAAAAAGGTACTTTTTAGATGCTTAACACATCAAGCATTACATTAATGTAAATGATGAAAGTGAAGCAAATGAGTTTTTCTAAATGAGTGAAAAAATGACCCAAATATATACTTTCTATAGGAATCTTAATTCAAATATAGTGACACAAGTTGACTGAAAAAAGGATGAAAAAGCTATACCATGCAAACATGAATCAAAAGCAAGCTAGTGTGGCTATATAAATATCAGGCAAGGTAGACTGGAGAATGAAGAAAATTATCAGGTTTAATAAGGATATATCATTTTTATAAAAGGGCTGTCATCAGAAAGACGTAACAACATTTATATTTGCATCTGACGATGGAAATTTAAAAATACATAAAGCAAAATCTGGATACAATTGGAAGGGAAACAGACAAATCATCCAGTTGTAGTTGGGGAATTTAAAAGTATTCTCATTGTAATAGGATGAACAGACCAAAGAATCAACAATATAGAATTGAAACAATACCATGAACAATTGGATCTCACTGACATTTGTAAGGCATTAAATCTGTCAACAACAGACACTCATTTTCCACTAAGATATCCAAGAATTTTCAATAATGTATACAGTATCTAAATTGAATGTTAACTAACTTAAAAGAACTTAAATCATATAAATTATATTCTCTGGTCATGATGAAATAAAAGTAGACATCAAAGACAACAGAAATCTCTCCAATCACTTTGACACTAAACAATTTATTTCTGTGATTGAAGGGTGAAAGGGTACATACTAAGAAAAATTAGAAAATAATTATAACTGAATGAAAATGACTACACTATATCAAAAACTCTGGG